TTATCACAATGAGTTTTGTGGAGATTTTTAGAAATTTCACTGGTTGAAATCATGAGTCAATTGAAGATAGACCACCATGGAAAACCTGGAAGCACTGGACGGCCGTTTCGCCCTGGTATGGGACACATCAGCAGTGCGCATCCACGATCCCGCACCCCGCGAGATTCCAACCCAAGAACTATCAGTCTCGTGCCAGGCGCTTAACCAACTAGACTACTGTCAGGGCAGGTACACGTAATTTTTGCAGGTATGATCTGCAAATTACAATATTAGATTGTTTACAGCATACTTTCCAAGTAGTGTCATTAAATGAATAAAATCAACAAAAGTAAATAACAGTACATTCATGCAGATGTCCTGGAGTGTCATTGGTTAGGTTTATACTTTAGTATTATACTGAGTACGGTCTTTAAAATATTTTCCAATGTGGCATCGCGTCCACGTTACACACTAGATTCAAGCTCAGCATAATTGGGTTAGAATTGTGGTCGTGCTAAGTATTTATGCAATGCAACTTTTCAATTTAATAGTTGTTATAAAGTAGATTTGTAGAACGCTTGGTGTGGACTATGACCTTGAGGAAACACGTACGTCAAGTTTTTTCAGGCGTCAAAGGTTCCATACATGTGCCCTCAGAGCAAGATTCTGAAAAAAAGCAAAGCAAAGGAGTAGCAAGGCACTTGTATATGAACGCTTAACAATGCTTAACATTTTGTAGTGGAGTAGACAGAAGTATGATAAATTAATAGATTAAACTCGTGCTAGTTCTTGTTCCAAGATCTAAAGTCGAAAACCAGCAACAGCCTCCCATGGCATGAGAAGGGTGAATTTATACGCAACGTTTCTATGTCAACCTAATGTATCGCCCGGTGCAACAACGGTCATGTCTGCGTTCATGTAATCATAGAATTTGTCATTTTATGATGTATTCTTTATTAAATAACTAGATTATGCTGTAAATTCTGCTCTGGTTGTAATTTTATGGCCAAAACAGCAAACATACACTATGCAATGGTAACAGATTTCCGGCATTTCAATGTTAAGCTTGATTTCGCTCACGACGTAATGAGTGCATCCCCCCTTTTGCTGCTTTATGGTATATTTTTTAATAACAAACGAGTTCGACCATATGATAGACTTAGGTATCATAAGACTGTCAAACAGACCATGGGCATCTCCGTTGCACATGTTCCCTAAAAAGGACAGCAACGGTTGGCGTCCAACTGGTGACTATCGGTGTTTGGATGCAAAAACCACTCCCGAACGTTTACCGTTGCCCGACATTCACGACTTGATGGCTACCTTAAAAGGCACAACTGTCATTTCGAAAATCGACTTGGTTAAAGCTTATAACCAAATTTCAATGGCCACTGACGATATCCCAAAAACCGCAATCATTACTCCCTTCGGTCTTTATGAATTTTCGAGCATGCCTTCCGGCCTAAGAAATGCTGCTCAAACATTCCAAAGGCTCGTAGATGACGTTTTTGGAGGTCTCAACTTCGTATGTTGATGACTGCTCGGTAGCGAATCCGGACAGAGAATCCCATCTTCAGTATCTGGATCAATAAGTCAATCAATCTGTGATGTGGATTGTCATCTTACGACCACCACTCAGACTCATGTTTCCAATTTTATGCCGGGTTAGCTATTCCACTAAGTCAACCTATAACATGCTAACTCGGACTTTTACACTAGGATTGTGTATCTGGCATCGGATGGACAAAAAAAGAAAAGAAAGAAAAAAGTAGACAATAAAAGATATGGTTAATAGTATTCTTAACACTTCACCCTCTATGTGCACACTCCATTCTAATAAACCGCTTTCCTTGTACCAACCCTGACTTCCCTTCCTTCATGTGAGCTGACGCGAACTTGTTAAACATCACAACTTATTGTTCTTGATTACTACATTCTCTTATATGGAGCCTATGACTTCATTTCACTCTAACAAGAGATAATATGGATTTAATCTAACTTATTATACCTCTATCTGTTCTACCACAAAATGTTAAGCAAAGTTTGGCGTTCATATCCAAGTACCTTGCTGCTCTTCTGTTTCTCTTTTTTCTTCTTCAGAATCTTGCTCTGAGGGCACAGCTATGGAATCTCTGGCGTCTGGAAAAAACTTGACGTACGTGTCTCCTGAAGGTTATGGTTTACAACAAACGCTCTACGACTCTACTTTATAACAACTATAAACTTAATAAGTTGGGAAGCATGCTGTGCACCAACAAATGTAGTACTTTGTAGATCATGCCTGTACAAAATGTACCTGCTCATGCAGAAACATGTTATTATTATCTTCTGTTCGAACGACTATAAAAGCATGGCATTACTGTAAACACTCAGAAATGCCGAATAGGATCCGACTTTTTAGACTTGCTAAAACACACTATTGATACGCAAGGCATCCGACCTATTAGAAGCAAAGTGGCGGCCATTCTGGATTACCAAGAACAGACCACCATCAAGCAATTACGCACATTTGACGGCCTTGTAAGTTTCTGTAGACGCTAACTTCCAACTTCGTGGCAATGCGATCTCCATTAGCCTGGACGACACCGCGCGAAAAGCATTCTCCACAGTTAAGGAACTTGTAGCTAAAGCAACAATCTTTACACATCGGGACACTCAAGCACCCATGAGTGTCGCAATAGACGCATCCGACTCAGCAATCAGAGTCTTACAACAATGGGTTAACCACTCTTAGCAACCTTCGGCATTTTTCTCTAGACGGTTGCTAGACACCGGATCGAGGTACAGCACAGTCGGTAGGAAAATCTTAGCTACGTATTGTGCCGTAGGGCATCTTCAACACTCTCATCTCAACACTCACTATTTTTACTGACCATAAGCCGCTTACTTTTTCTTTAAGCTCCTCTTCAGACAAGTACTCACCACGTGAGTCTCAAAAACTGGACTACATTTCGCAGTTTATTTCAGATACACAACACATTTCTGGAGTAAACAATGTAGCTGCCGACGCGTTGTCCCTCATGACGTCCTTGAACAGTTTCCAAAGGATCGACCTTCTTAAACTCGCCCAGCTTCAAAATGAAGACACCGATCTTCAGCACGAGTTAGCCTCAACAACACTTAAACGGCCCATCAAACAGATGGGAACAGGTAAGGAAACCCTACTTTGTGACACATCTTCAGGTAGCGATCACCCAACTGTGCTGAAACATTATCGGCGCAACGTCTTCAATACGTTGCACAAGCTTTCTCATCCAGGTGTTCCAGCAACCATCAAGCTCATAGCAGGACGGTTTTGCTGGCCTGGTATGAATAAAGACGTGAGGGAGTGGGGACGCTGCTGTGTAAGCCGCCAGAAATCTAAGGTTATTCGATACAACAAATGTCCCTTGATCTCATTCACAACTGCCGATGCTCGTTTTGACCATGTTCATCTTAATTTGGTGGGACCCTTACTAGATTCAAATGGACATCCTTATCTTTTACCCTGCGTAGACAGTTTCATTCGGTGGCCGGAGGCAGTACCTATCAAACACATCACTGCTGAAACAGTGGCTCGCACCTACGTCGAACGATGGGTAGCAAACCTCGGCTGCCCTTCAGGTATCTCTACAGACCGCGGACGTCAGTCCGAATCTGAACTTTTCAGTTTTCTGACCACAGTTTTAAGAATCACTCGCTTCCGAACGACCGCCTACCACCCACAAGCAATCGGGTTGGTAGAACGCTTTCACCGACAACTAAAAGCTTCACTATCAGCTGTGAACTTTAAAAGGCGAACCGTCGCTCTTCCACTCGTCTTACTAGGTATTCGCAATGCAGTGAAAGCTGACATTGAATACAGTGTACACTTATCCGACAGCCAACACGCAAGGTTGATACTTCGGCGTTATCTGAAAGTAAACTTAAAACAACGCGTTCTAGAAGAGGAGTAAAATCTCAAGAGCATTTAAACGAGTATTGCAGGGAAGACAACGGTTAACATTTTGCTTCATCTCCATTTTTACCGGCATTATATATAATAGTAAAAAACCGACTTTAATATGCTCGGTATTTATATATTTATTTTTAAAAAAACATTTTTCACAATATATGTATATTAAGTTTCTTTTGAAAACAAAAAATCAGAAAATCATTTTCTAAAAATTGTTTATACGTTACCTCATGTGTATAAACTTATTTTCTTTTTTTCGACTACTTTGTGTCTTAAAGCGCGTACGAGTTTATTTTGACATGCACTTATATATTCTTTTTTTCTTTACCAGGACGGCTGGAAAAGACGATAAAAGAACGATGAGGATTACGAGGAACCATAATTTTCATTGTACATCATTATTTTACTATAATGTACTTCATGGTCCCTTATAGTAAGGAGGACGAGGAGACGATGCTAAGCATAGCGAGCTATCAGAGAAGGGTTAGCCAACAACAAACTCGTTGGCTTTAAGCTTCTGTCTGGTCACCTCTTAGGGTCATCATTACTCCACTAGGAGTGATCTATAGAGGTAAATAAATCCCTAAAATAAATAGCTCTGTAAATTTTCGACATTTGGTGCTGACCACATTAGTTTTAGTGGACTCACCTAGCTGAAGGCGCCCATTCATGCATCCGCACCAGATCACGAGTGGATACGCCGTGCTCAACATCTACTGCAATCGCTAGCCAGATCTAATCAGACAATCCCCGATATATTGATAGCTTATCAAATATATCTTCGAACCACTTTGCCTCTGTCTTTCCATTTCACTTAATGTGTACGATCCATATTAGAAAGTGTTACTAGTAAAAGCGTTGTCAGGCTCCGAAAACCTGAGGCGTCTTCAACTCCTTCCTTGGAGTGTAACTATTAGCGAAGACCCAAATACTTTACTCTATTCAGCACCAGTTCATATAAGTCAAGTTGTCCATTTCACTTTCTCAAGGTGATGATAGCTACTTTGCGAATTGTACAAGTTTGCAGAAAGACTTTGTTTAAATATGTAGAGTATACATTTCTATGGTGTTAAATTAGTCCGCATATATGAACTTACTGCGCTATCAAATAATTTTACTGGTGCAGTTTTTGTTAATATTATATGATTTGTTTGCCAATGCATCCTCTGAATTGTTTAGTCACGTTAATGTTAATCTTTCGGTTATATATGTGTAAGAACATTACGATATGTAATTAATTATTTCATCCTAGCGTTCAGGACCTATGTATACTTTTCTGTAGTTTGATTTTTTGCCTACTTCTGTCTAGCACGTTCGTTTTTCAAGCGGGCTATATAAATCTTCTCTTGTCACAATTCAAAGATGCTATACTCGTTACATTGTGCTATCTGATTTTGAGTATTTCTTTGCATTGCTGGGGAGCGGTACGAAAATTTGTAAATCTTAGTCATTTCTAGATATCGAGATGGAACGATCCTGCTAAGATGCCATCTTCAGTCGGATACCAAATACTCTATGCTTTTCAGAGGACATGTAAGTATAAGGACTCATTTGAATCGCATACACATTTGTAAAATTGTACTCAAGAAAATGTCATTAAACTCTGGTATTCTCAGTTTACACTCACGTATAATGTTTTGATCTAGTACAACTATGAAGTTAAGCTCGCAAAGTAACTTGGCGAAAATCAGGGGCATTTTTGGTTTTACCTGAAACATTACTTTAAATATTATTTTTATGGCAAATAAATAACCGAGATGTTTTATCTGAAAATATCATGTCCGACTTCCAGTTTCTAACCAGTAAAGATTCTTGATTTTTGCAGTCATAGCTGAGAAACACAACTACCAGTACATCTGACTGAAGAAAAGTTTGTCGGTTTGGTAAAAAACTGGATGATGAAGAGACGTTATGTAATACCACACTTTAAAGTACAAATTGCTTATGAAGCATAAATATTTATGACAGAAAAATGCACGCATTTAAGATTATCAAATATGCTTAGTTATTTTCTAAAAATACTACAACTTCATAAGATATTATACAGTAATCCATATAATCATGGAATATATGAACCTATCTCGCTGAAAAATTTGTCCCTCAACGTTATGGTCTGTAGCCTCGTTCATTCAACAAAAATGCTCTTTGCACTTGAATGATCCAGTGGCGTATATGATGAAGTCTATCAAAAATGCCTGTAACTCGTGTTTATCTATTGGTGACCAGTCTGACTCAAATAGCGACTTTTGAACGCTGACCATAAAGCTGAATATATCCCTACCTTAGAAGACTACTCAATGACTGTTGAGTTGTTTACCAAAGTTTATTGAGTATGATTATTACAAACCAATCATTGCGCCGGACGAAAATGGTACATACGTCTTTCACTCCGTCCTTATACATATTACATTTTTATTCTCTTTGTATTTAAGTACAAAATTCACTTGGTAAAGTTCTATCTGTTATACAACCTTGACATGGAAGCAGGACAGCTTAATTACCAAGAGGATGCGTCAGGATAGATATCTATCTTATAGTTTGACTTGGATATAAGAGTACTTAAGTAGGATAATCACAGCATTTCAATCCAGCTGTGATGTATGAAACCCATTATTCGAATTAAATGAGTAAATGGATCTATAGAAATGATAGTCCTAAAAATTACAATATTGTATTTCACTAAAAACAATGAAGGATTATCATTTTCGAATTCACATAAGCGTTTCATATCAAAAGTAAAGATAACTTTCATGTAATAGGTTTTTAAAGAATTAGCAACTATTTAGATGTTTTTTATAGCATGTTTATTTACTGACTTATGTCAAGTAACATTTGTACTTTACTAAATTTTAATTAAGGGTCAGTATTATACTACTTTTTATACAAGAGAACAATTTATCGACTAGGAGATTCTAGATATTATGAAGACTGTGAATGGATAAAGAAACAAATCGAAAATAATTCTTGAAGATAAAAAAAATCATTATTTATGTTTGAAAAACTGCATACTTCTGACTATCTTTGTGTAGCAAACAACATCTTAAATAAATGATTTTATGTTTACCTAAAATTATCCAAAAAGAATGTTAAAGATACTTTATTTTTTAATTTGACCCTTTTACTTGCCGATTTCTCTCAATATTTTTAACCTTTTCATTGCTGTGTTAAAAACGACTAGGGTCCAGTAAGGAAGTTGTCAAATAAAATTATGAGGCTTTGTTCCTTAACTTGATCAGGATGTAAATTAACAACGATATTAATCTTAGAAAAATTCTCTTCGTTGGTAATAATTTTCTTAGGGGGGTCAGCTGGATAATCAAGCTAAGACAAACCACTCACAACTCTGGTGTTTTTGCCTTGAAAACAATTTTAGAACTTTTTTCGTGGAATCCAAATTGTACCGGAAACGGCCTACCAAAGTAGGGATGGAATATTAATACACGCCAAATTTACGGTTCCGAATGGAGTGTAGCGGATAAATGTATTACTATACGAATCAGACATGCACATCGTTATAAGTGCCATAAGGAGGACTTACAACGATAATAGACAGGTAATAGTTCCAAGGACTATCTTTTCTCGACAGAACTTTCTACTCTACTTGGATTCTTACTAAAGCAAGCCCCGGTTGGGTTAGAATTAGGAACATTTATAAATAGCTAAATCTGAGACTAGAGTATACCACTTTAGACTCATGTTGAGAATAGTGTCTTTAAGTTATATATTTTGCTTCGCAGAGACCAAGTGAATTAATAACTGGACAACAAAGCAATAACACGGGATAATAAACTAGCATAACCAGGGAAAGCTTTAATCTGACTGACTTTTTTGAAGAATTGGCTGTAAGTATCTGTAGTCAGTCATATGCACCGTGGAACCTCGTAAATATATGCGTGGGTTTGACATGCAAAAAATATCAACACGGTAGAAAGAAGTTACCGAGATGAATGTTGGTAAGCCTCAAGTGTATTACAGAACCATTTGGGATCGAAAAAGTGACTTTAAGGTCAAAGCGTGTAAATCGATCTTGAACGAAGTTTTTCGAATCATATTAAATCAAGGTGTTAACTGTGGATCATACAATGATTACGTATAATAAGGAAAATATCATTTACTATTTAAAGGATATTAGATGGCTAGGAAAGTACTCACATGTAGATGAGGAAACGGAATAACTGTTTAAGATTGGGATTATGAATTGTGATATATATATAATAGGCCTGAACATTGCTCTTGGTCTTAAACTTCAACGTCGAAGGACCTATAACCATATTAGAAAAGTTTATTATTCACCTGAAAACAAAACTAGTAGAAGCAATAGCAGTGTTAGTGATGGTAAAAAGAATAGAAGTAACGAATATGATATGCGAAAAATGAATAAGTTTAAATAATAAAAGGTACGACGTAAATTTGAACGTTAGCGTCTACAGATAAACAAAAAGTAAGTTTTTCTGACCTGGAGTTTTCAACTATAGGTCACATTAACCACGCGAGCACCAACCAGGTATATTGCACTTATAAGCATGACTGTTTACAAGTCAGACTTCAGAGACTGATCACATGTTTTGGTTTGGTCGCCTTTGTCTTTCTTCCAACCTACTCCGATACCAGCCATCATCGCGCTTTGAAGTAGGCAGTGATTGAGCAAACACAATGTATGTCCTAACTGCTTCAGTAGATGAATGTTTACAATATTTACCTAGTACCTTTGTGATGTGAGCTACTTATATCCACATAAGTAGTACATAACGATGGTCAGAAATAGAATGTATTTCAGTGGAAGATCAAGAGGAAAAGAACGGAAACAGGAAGCGATTGGTATGAAAACGCATGAACAATGAAATCTGAGACGATGAACTGATATTTGCAGAAGTAACAGTTAAGTTTGAAACAATTGATTGATATTTTGCAAACTAACTATTTACTGTATGATTCTCAGATTTTAGTGAGATGTTCTGTAATTTTGTTTTTGTTCACCGCACCTTGATTTCGACCTCCGAATTGCTAACTCAGCGGTCTCATCATACGCAGCCAATGCTTTAATGACACTTGTAATTAAATGCTTGAACTCTGTGAATGTCACGAAATTTTAAAAATCATACTCATTAAAATAGAACGTGGCAAATTCCTATGAAGTATATTCACCATTCAGTTTGATAGAAAGACTTATCACTTATGTCACAAGTGATAAAAATCGATAAAAGAGGATAAAACTATCCAGATGCATTCAGATAATTCACCAAATACCAATCCGCCTAGGGTGATAAGAATCCAAAGATAAGTGAAGTGATCAACGCACTCAAGTGCTTCGCTCTCGATAATCAATATACACAATGAGTGACACAAGCAAGTTTCGATGCAAAATTTTTCATTTAGATGAAAAGGAATGCACTCCAAACATCCTTGTGTTGTTGCTCACGGTGGTCAGAAGATTCCGTTTACTGTCAGTATCTAAACTCCACCTGTAGCTCTTCTAGAGTTACTACCGGTTCCAAGCCCACACAAAGGAGGAGGGTTGGGCATGGGGTCGGCAACCTCATCTCGTAGGAAAAAACCTTGCTAAAAAACACCAACCAGATTAAATAAATCACACCATTTAAATTTTGTCCTGGTAGTTGAAAGAAGAATTTTGACGCCTCATGGTATAGACCAAAATTCCTCGAAAGTCACGAGGCTGATGCTCCTTCTAACAACCAGAGTAACAGTTTCTATAGGTAAATGGGACGTCCGGAGAATAAGGGAGACCGGGAGGATCAGTCTAATAGCTACGAAAATGAGGAGATGCAACATAAAAATACTCGAAACCAGCGAAACCCATTAAACTCAAGCTGGAGATCAAAGGCTAGATACAGGAGAGATGCTGCTATACTCCGATCACAAAGTGGAAAATACTCCACACATTCAGGGATTTTCTCTAATGTCCAAAGAAGCACGAAATGCACTTGTAGGATGGGAATATCAAGGATCCAGAATCATCAAAGCATCATTCAAAACAAAGAGGGAGGGGAACACAATGAGTGTTATCCAATGTTATGCACCCACCAATGATAGCAACGACGACAATAATGACCAGTTCTATGGGAGGCTGCAATCAATCATAGAGAAATGCCCAAGAAAGGACCTCACCATTCTGATGGGAGATCTCAACGCCAAAGTCGGAATAGACAACACTGGATATGAAGATATCATGGGACAACATGGACTGGGAGAGAGAAATGATAATATAGAAAGATTTGCAAATTTGTGTGCATTCAACAAACTGGCAGCACAATACACCTACACAAACGCATGCACAAAGCCACATTGGTCTCACCAGACAACACCACAGAGAACCAGATAGATCATATTTGTATCAATAAGAAATTCCGAAGGACGATTGAAGATGTGAGACACAACAGAGGAGCTGACATAGCTTCAGATAATCAACTGGTTGTGGCCAATATGAATCTGGAGAATCACTGGACAACTCGGGAAACAGCATTACAAAGGTTTAATACAGTCTTCCTTCGAGATACTAACAAACTCAACGTATTCAAGATAGCTCTCAACAACAGATTCCAAGCCTTACAGGATATATGTGATAATTAGGAGTATTTAAATTATAGTACAAACTAAGAATCCCAGAAATAACGCCATTTAACCGAGAAGTATTAGATGTTCACGAACGAATGCATACTATTTGGAATTCAAAATCAAGCAGTCAGCAAGTACAAAAGGAATCATTAGTTCATACTAACACCATAATCTACAGAAAGAAGAAACTGCTATGGAGGACAACTGAAAAGGTATCAAAGAAGCAATGATGTCAACATATCAGGAGGTTCTGGGCCGCAAGAAGCATCATCATAACAAATGGATTTCCATCGAAACCCTGGACAAGATTCAGGAAACGTAGAACAAGCAGACAGCAACTAACAACAGCCGGACACGAGCGCAAACTGCATACACAGAAGTGAAGAGGAGTATTAGAGTTGACGTGGCGACGACGGCATAAAAAATCTGCAAGAGAAGGAAATATGAAACAACCCTATAGTGGTATGAAGAGAAACTGGCAGGAAAATATAGTAAACCAGAGATAGCAGTCAAGAACAAACAAGACAAGCCAATCACTGAGATTCAGGAACCGCGGAACGAGTGGGTAGAACACTTTGAAGAACTCTTGAATAGACCAGCCTCATCAAACCCACCAGACATAGAAGCGGCGTACACAGATCCTCCTTTAGCTGTCACTACAATAACGATCAGAGAAATCAGGATGTTCATCAGACAAATCAAGAGAGGGAAAGTAACAGGACCTGACAACATATTAGCTGAAGCACTGAGGTCAGACGTAAAGTCACTGCAAAGGTGCTCCACATTCTATTCAGGAAGGTTTGGGGGGAAGAACAGGTGCCGACAGAATGGGAAGAAGGATACCTCGTCAACCTACCAATGAGAGGAGATCTGAGTAATTGTGAGAACTACAGAGGCATCACACTACTATCGGTACCAGGAAAAGCTTTCAACAGAGTGTTGCTGAACCGGATGAAAGACTTAGTAGACGCCAGAATTCCAGATCAACAGGTCGGATTCCGTAAGGATCAGTTGTGTATAGACCAAACTGAGACAATACAGATCATCTGTGAACGATCGATTGAATGAAACTTGTCACTATACATCAACTTCATTGACTATGAGAAAGCGTTTGACAGTGTGGACAGGAGAGCATTATGGAAACTTCTTCGACACCATGCAGTCCCTAAGAAGATTGCCAATATCATCCGAACTACAGTGCGAAGTCGTGCATGGAGGACAGCTAACAGACACATTGAAATTAAGGACTGGAGTAAGACAAGATTGCCTTATCTCACCTTTCCCCCATTCTTCTGGTGGTTGAATGGATTGTGAAAACCCCTGCATCTCATGGAAAGCACGGAATACAATGAACAGCTTGCATGCAACTATACAATATGGACTTCGCAGACGACC